AGGATGTTGAATTACCCCTATATACAAGTTTTTAGCGGATTTGGTGATCTTGCCACTTTTAAAATGAGCTCGAAGACGAAATTTCTGGAGTCCAAACGGCATTAGCCCTGCATTCATTCCTTGTGGTGTAAGCAGAACGCACTAGTATTGCTCTTCTTGCATTGTGGATTGGTACAAAGGTTTTTTAAAATAATTATGACAGATTTGATTCTTACTCGTACAACTGTACCTTATGGAAGAGGTAAACGGTAAGTTATAGGGAGGAATCTCCAGAACGGCGACAGAGCTTTTTTGAAATATAATTGCCTCATGATATTTCTTTATTATATTTACTCTTGGAAAAGAATGTTGACGGTCATAACACAATGGTGGGATATGTGTATTCTTGATTCTAATCATCCTTTGCAGGTGTCACCAAAGCAGTCGATCTATGTGCTGCTCCAGGCAGCTGGAGTCAGGTGCGCAGAACTGTTTTTTTTTGTTGTTAAGTGTTTAATCGCTCAAGAAAATAGTTCCTGGAAGGAACATTCCGCGTCCAGTAGGTGTGCAGATGTCGTTCTTGAATAAGCTAGTCCTGTCTGCAGGCATAGATAATGTATCACTTTCGCGGTTAAAAAGTTGTGGTAACGAGCTACTGGATCATGGAGAATTCAATGCCCTGCCCGCCGCTCCATGCCGCACCCAAAATTTATTTCTATCTGCTACTTGATGGTCCGGTTATTCCTCTATTAGTTCACGATTATGAATAGTGAGAGTGAGAGGATAAGGTTGCTCGCTGTCGAACTTACAGTGTCGGGCGGCCACTGTCCTTCTAAGCTGCAAAGAATCCGCCCCTCCCTGTCGCACCCCCTTACCCCCTCCCTGTTTTCTTAATCTAGTTATCGGAAATAGGTGTTTCCTCTCCTTGACTATATCTTTGTTTTGCTGTTTATTTCGTTGCCGATAATGATGAAGTAAAGGTGAAAGAACTGATATCGTTATGACACTTTTAATCAGAGCTAGTCCAAGCACACGCTCTCTCTTCGTCTTCTGCCCGTGCATACTCGATTTGGCATGCACCCTATCTGGAACATTTCCAAAGGTTTCCTCTCCGTTACTGACCTAATGGGTCCTTGGCATCGGAATTCCAGCCTCACTACCTCCATTTTTGATCGCGGAAAGGGTATGTGAAGCGCTCAGATGGCTTGATATGTTCCGCTTGAAGTTTTTTTATGGCGTGGTAATACTCAGCTTTATCCATTGGGTCTGGAAGTTTAGTATTCAATTTTCCCTCTTGTCACTGTCAGAGCGAGGAATCAACTGATAATCAGCTGGTTTTCTACCAACAAACCTATACCCGGTTAATATCTTCAATTGCTGATCAGTTTCAAGCTTGATCAGCACCATAGAACACACCTTGTGATACCCCTCACACACTTGGCGCGGTTCGGCGAGGGGAGGGGGGCATTTGCATTTGCACTCTCGGTGCTTCCCATTGTCGTGTTCATGCTTTACAAGAATTGACAGGCATTCTTCACAATAGTAGACAAGCAGTTTCTTTAAACTTTGGTAGGTGACATTTCACCGCTTCACCAGATTTCACAAATCTCTGCTTAATGGCTCGATACGACAGTGGGAAGTGAAAGCGAAAGTGCTAAATGTCCCCCCCCCCTGTCGCCGAACTGCGTCCACAATCTAAAGGAAACAGGAAAACCGCGATTCTCGGGTTGAGTGAAAGAATTGGATTTCTGCCTTCTTTCAGGTGCTTTCGAAGCGGCTTTTCGAAAACGGGAAAGACACGGATGACGTGAAAATCGTTGCAGTTGATCTCCAACCGATGTCACCAATCAACGGCGTGATTCAAATCCAGGGTGATATAACTGACGTGAGTTCTGCCACTTCAAGTTTTAAGCTGGATCGAAATATGAAATAATATGGCATTGTTAGTTAGTTAAATTAGTTTGATTATTTCTCTTCCCATGGTTTAACTAGTTTGTTGCTGTTCAGTTTGGTTGTTTGTATGTTCGTTTGTTTGTTTTACCTTTCTCAAGTTACATGCATCTATGCGTGTCCATGAATAAATAAATAAATATAATAGAATAGTAAATAAAAAGTAAAGTATAGTAAATAAATTGTTGTTACAGAATTACACAGCCAAGCGAATAATTGACGTTTTTGGAACGTTAGCTGATCTTGTTGTCTGTGATGGTGCTCCTGACGGTACGTTTTCGGCGGTCGTGATTTTGGAATTTCATATGAAGCGGTTCTTCTTAAGTAACTGGTCTGCATTCATTGGACGAGTATATGCAAGCACAACTCGTCTTGTCAGCTCTGAATATTACCACCCACGTCGGTCGCGCACCCTACCGAAACTTGGTGATCGTTCGTAGCAAAGGTGCGTACTTTCCGTTGAAGCGCTTTTTCTATACGTATTTTTGAAAACGTGTTTTTGATATGGATGTCTAACATGTTTTCATCACATTTTTGTTAATATTTGTGTTTAATGTTGTTATTTTCTACTATTCGTAAGTTGTGAAGCTTTAATTTCCTGTGGGCCCTAATAATATCATGGTATAGCTCGGCTTACAAGACAGGAAATGAAACGAAATAAAAAGAGAACACCCTGTTGAAACTTTTCAGTGGTGAGTTTTGGTTTTTCTTCAGTAAGCGGACTATTGCTGCGCTCTGTAAGATCCGTGATTTAGGACAACCGGAGTATTGATAGAATGAACGCATTATATCACAAGAATGCTGAGATATTGGCAAAAGTCGGACCCGGGACGGGACTCGAACCCGCATCTCCCGCTTACCGGGCGGTTGCGTTATCCATTACGCTACCGGGGCCTCCTTTGCCTTCTCAGCTCAATGGCATTTTGTGCCATAGCCTTACAGCACTCACACGTTCAACGTGATGAGCCGGTTAGCCGATATCGGCAGTAAACCGCGAAGGCTGAAGGCTTTTTACATGTTATAAAGCTGTTTTAGTTTTGATAACTGCTGTTTAACGCCGCAGTGCGCTCGCTATTTTGAACGCATTATAATTCCCTTTGATTCCATTCTCGTGAGCCTCAGGTTTTCCTAAACGGCGGTTCTTCCAACCGCGGATCCGCCTTATTAGCGAACTGTGAGGTGGTATAGTGGCAGTGGCATGTTAACCGCACTAGCTCAGGCCAACAATCGGCACTAGCTCGGGCCAACAAGGCCTACTCACGGGAACGCTAAATTGATACCATATCCGTCTGAGAGAATGAAAATAATGTCGGTTTTCTCCGCCTAGTTGGGCGCCCTCCCTATTCTTACTTTCTCTAAATTCGTGGATTTCTTCAGGATCCGATACATAATATTATCTTTGACGCGCATTATCCGGAACCGCATATTCTCCGAACTCCCAGATTCTCCACTTTCGCGAACCATAGCATGGCTCTACTCCAACAAGTTT